AAAAGAAACAAACTGGCATCTTCTCCAAAGTAACGGAATATCCTAACAGCATTTATCTAAGCCTACATAAGAACACACAAACCTCTAAGTCTTAGTACACTCTAGTTTTACACAAACCAGGCAGAAACTAAAGTACTCTCGAAGTTTTGCAACAAATGTTGATTTGCGTCGACGGTCAGTGATGGAGGATACGTCGACATCGAAGTGCTCGCAAATGGACCTTAATAGTACTATGCCAATCTCATACAGGCCTCCCCTCTTTGCCAAGACACAAACATCGAATGTATCGTACAGGACAGGGTGATATAGTTCGACGTTGGTGATGATTTCCTTCTGTATGCGACTGTTGGAGGATTCGAATACAGCAGGGCCCTCCTCCTCCTCCTCCTCCTCCTCCTCCTCCTCAGAATCTTCTGAAGCTTTACGGCATTTAGCTGCCAGTCGGGAGAAATAGCTAGAGACTTGCTGGCCAGTCAAAAAGTCCTGCACCTGGAATAGCCGTTGGCCTTGTGCATCACGCGCATGCCTCATCTCTTTGGACACAGTAATGGGGTCTGACTTTCGTCCAGTACCTTGTCCAAGCCGGAAGCGCTTATCAAGGTCCTTTTTTTACTTGTGGCTAAACCTGACAGCCATCTTCGGACTGCGCAGTGCCCATCCTTGCTGTGGGAAAGGTATTGTTCTATTTACTTCTAAGGATGGTTCTACATGTTGCACATCTGACAGACTCTGTGCAAGCTTTTCTGCATACTTCAACTTTGTCTTGTCCAGCAAAGTCTCTCTTTTAAGGCGACGTTTGTGCTTTCCGACAGCTACATGAGCCTCCAGACCTTTGCATGTTTGATAAATCTTGACGCAGCTCTCTTCTGGACAAGGGAAAATGCTACCACTGGCTGGGTTGCGCAGTCTCATGACTTGCCGCATCTTCATCAGAATCTGACTTCTTGTTGAGCTTGCACCTTTATCTGCCTGGACCTGATGGGTCGAAATGCAGAACCAGGATTTGACGGCTGACTGACAATCTTCATCAGCGTGGTTCTATGGCAGGCAATCGCAGCCAAGTGACAATATTCCCTTCCCCGATGTTGTATGCTCGCCAGACATGTAGACCTGCATCACTAAACTCAAAGAGTTTGGTGATTCCATCCAGTTTCATGGATGTCGCTGCAACATCTGCAACCACTTCACACGAAAGACACACAGAAAACTTTACTCCCGGGATTCTACCACAAGACTCAAGGCAATCTTAAACTCCTCGCGTCTCAACATTATGGCTCCCTCATTGATCGAGGTCTTGATGTGGGACTTCACTGTTGCGGCCTGTCTGTCACATGACCTTTTTCCCCCTTGTGGGTCGCAATAGTCAAGTCGTCTGATGGTGACTCCTGCCTGTTTCGTAGATATACCTAGCTGCTTGAAGTATGAGTGTGTTGTGATAACGCCCAGCATTGTCACTTCGGAGGTATATGGACTTGGATAGATCCCTTGCTTGTATGCTACCGTGATGTGCCATGGTATGCCCCGCTTTCTAAACCAGTCTGTTTGGCTTTCCCTGTACTCCTTGGCAGGAACTTCATGGCCCAGTCCATTACGAGAAGCACACGTGTATTATCCAGGTTATTCAGAAGTACATGCCAGGCGTCATTTTGATTACACTTTGTCTCATAGAGTACTTTGAAGATGGCTAAAATTTTATTTTTTTGGCAAATGCAAAAAAAGTGGCCTACTTTCATGGACAGCCACGTGCTAAACATTACGACCCAAAACTCTACGCGCATTCATTTGATAGACAATACATAGATCTATATTTGACCAGAAGTTCGAGTTAACGTTCTAATTTATTTTGTCCAGTATAGTACTTTGAACATGGCTAAAATTCCACAAATTTCGCCTAGTGCAAAAAAATGACAACCACGTGACTAATCATTACGACCTGAAACTCTACAAGCAATTATTTGATAAGTTATGCAATTTTAATCATGTGATGATGTATGTACCATGTCAAGCTAATATATAGAAATCAGGACTCTCTTAATTAATTGCGTTTGCTAAATCAATTTCGATTTGTTTTCAGCAATGTATAAAACATTTTCTAACTCATATTGCGGCCAAACATTTGTTTCATATCGACCGAACATTGTCAAAAGGATCAAACAGCTGTTTGGTGGCAATTGTGTGATGTAAAAATCCAATAACGAATCAACTTTGTTAGGGAATTTGTTTCATATCGAATGTATTTTATGCTTGGTAAACATAAATAGATTAACTCATATGCAACCATGTTGCCATGTTCCATCCGTACAAGATATATATGACAGTGGCGGTCTGAGACCTGGGTTTATACATTGTGTTGTTGAATTCGGTCGAACGAAGCCGTCATTCATGGTTAAATTATCACATATTACGTTGACTGCTATCACTATGATTATAATAATGACAATCATTCACGCACGTCACTACAAATCAACTTCTACATGCATTCATCAACGCGTGAGATTATACATCTCGACGATATTAACATCGTGTTTGCCACTGAACTAGTGATATTTCATATTATACAAGTGATATTTAAAACATATTGATTGTGAAGTGGATAAGCAATGAATCTTTACGTAATGTCAATAACTAAATATATCACTATGCACCATGCAGGTAAAATGCGAAGATAGCTTACCAAGGATCTACTCACCTGAATTTGACGTTGGTACAACAGTTGATGTTTCTAATTGTGAGTTTATTTCAGAAATCTGCAAAATACAAACGGGGTTTCTCATATTTGTTACTCTAGCACGTACGAAGTATAGCCTGATATCTTATAAGTGTATACAAGAAGTATGTAGAGAATAGTGTATGTAGAATAACTTGTAATGCAAAGAGAAAACACTATATTGTTTGTTATTTTATTCAGGCTATTAATTCAAGACAAATAAAATGCAACGATATAGAGAATATAGCAAATAATGTTTTTTTTGTTCTGTAATATCCTAGTCAATATGTAAAAATTATCTTTGGTGTGCATATGAAGTATATTTCGTTATGAATTATTCTTAATATATTTCGGAATTCTCTTGTCAAAATCAGTTGTTTTTAACCCCTCTTCCCCCAAAAGGAGAAAAGAATTTTACAATGTCGAAAACAAAAAGTCTTCATGGCCCGCTTTCATTGCAAGCTATTAGAAACGGTTACTATGGCGTAGTGAGGTACACTTCTGCTTACAGTGGCGTGGTACTTTGCTAAGTGTGTAATATGTTTGAAAATATATCCCTCGGAATTAACTAGTTTTTAGGAGCGGTATATGGGAAATATAATATGTACATTAATTAATGTCACAATTATGTGTATATTATAGCGTAATATACTATGTTTTTTTCCATCGATTGAACCTGAAAAAATCAAGATCAGTTGTCCACACCTAGACGATAGAAATTATGTTTATTTTGCTGACAAGGTTGGTCTATTCTATATATTATCCCTATAAATGAAATGATTTTTGAGCATGTATTCACACTGTAATATGTGAGACTACTGTAAATGGATTAATTATTCACGGGGTTTTAATTTTGCTTATTTCGCTGACTGAAAAATGCGATAAATTAAAACCCAGTGAATATGTAAAATTTAGCATAGAACACATTATCTAAATGATAAGCGCGTGAATTTAAAACGCAATGAATATGCCTAAAATGGTAAATCAGCAAAATTTAAACCCAGTGAAAATTAGACATTTAACAGTATACACAGCAACGGGTAAATATTTGGCAACGTATTATATATTGTTTTATCTATCTGGCAAATTGTTCAATTGCCAGATTATCCAGTAATAGTTTCATTCGTATGCGCTGTATTGGCTTTAGAAAGATATGCGCACGTTATTATCCAAGAATGATATTTAATCTCGACACTAACCTCCAGTTCCGCAATTCAACACTTTGTGTAGATTATCGGGGGAACACCGCAAAGCTATACATGAATGCATATAATCGAGTGGAAAGTTTTAATGTATACCGTGGTAAGTTACTCTTTAAAAGCGGTAGCATTGTTGTAATATTATCGAATGTGAGACGAGGTGTCTGATGACTCACTGTGCGCGCATGGATACTGAAATATACCAATTACCTATTAAATACGTATCAAACGCATTTCTGTGGCGACTATGGGTCTAAGTGATATATATAAAAGTCACAGCGGA